AACTCTAATAGTGTGTGAGTTCTACAATAATGTGATGTTTGTGTATTTTTTAATTTTTTCATTGACAAGTCATTAAAACTCTATTTAGAGTTGCAAAATTAAATGAATGTATAAATTCGGACTTCATAAAATAAGCAGCAGCCATGCCATGCCATACCATGCACAAGTCTCGCAAGGACAAAGGTAAGCAATTAAAGACTTTTGTACTACCCACTAAGCAATTTAAAATCAAGAGAGGGTCTCTCTCCAGGGCATTGTGTAGATTTGAATATATTGTTAGATTTGTGAGATCTATCACTAATTTTGTTTTAATGATTTAAATTGTTTAATATATAAAATTTATTGAATACTTTATAATTGTAAAAATTTATATTAATTGGATATCGATAGCCCCTTAATTGAAACACATTTTTATTAATAATTTATTTTAAAAATCATATTTACTATTAACAAAAATGTGTTCCGATAAAAAGGCTACTGATATTCGATCAATGTGATTTTTACAAGCATGAAGTAATCGACCAGCTCTACAAATTACACGATTCAAATCATCAAAATGAAATCCGTGATAAACCCCATAGACTGAACAGTACATTCTAATCCACAAAGTGAACTAGAGAGAACCTCTTCCTAAAATCAAATATTGTGAGTGTTTGATATAGATTATTTTAGGATAAATTACAAATACACCCCTGAGATTTGCTTAAAATACAAATTGTCCCATGTAGTTTGAAAAATTACAAATACTTCCTTGTTAGAATTTTTTATTTAATAGAATTAACTAAAAAAATAAAATTCATAATTGCTCTCTTATATAATACTAAAATTATTAAAATTATTAATTGAAACACATTTTAATATCATTCGAAATTGTTAATTGATTTGATGATTTATTAATAAAATGGATGATTTGTTATGAAATTAGAAATCTTAAGAGGTAAAATATAATTTTCAAAATCACAGGAGACGATTCGTATTTTAATTAAACCTCAGGAGGTGTATTGGTAATTTATCCATTATTTTAAGTTAAAAGTTAATAATAAAAAAAGTATAAGTTAAATGCATCTCTCTCAATTTTTGAAAAATCAATTTTTTCCAATTTATTTAAATTATTTTTACCTAAGAAATTGCTTGTGATGATCTAAATAAATATATTTTTTAATTTTTTATAAAAAATTACATAAAAAAATTAAAAGATAATATGATTAAAAAAATAAAAAGATAAAAAAAATATACTGAAATTAAAGATACCCAATAATATTTTAATAAATTATAAATAAAAATTGCACAAACTTTTAAATTAAAATATATTATAAGTTGTTTGTATAATTCTCACCAAACACTCATTATATATATATATATATATACATCAAAAATGCTTTAGAGCTCTAATATAGGAGCTCTAATAGCTCTAATGGAAAGGTGGGTCCCACCCTGATGTGATATTTGTACCTTGTTTTGTTTTTTTTTCTTTTTTTTTTAGCTTTGACACATCATTAAAGCTCAAATTAGAGCTCTATATTTAGAGCTCTCTATCATTTCCCATATATACATACTGAGACAAACACTACAAAGAGACGATCTGAAGCCTTTTTTCAGGCATTAAATGATGAGAGAGAGAGAGAGAGAGAGAGAGAGAGAGAGAGTGGATGGCGTCAAAGCAAAAACAGAGAGAAAGGGGGGGCGTGGCACTGCATGGCTCTCTAGTTGGGTCAAGGACAGTGAAGAAGGTGGCACTGCCAAGCTCTGCATTTTGCAGTCACAAATATATATATATATATATATCTATATATGTGTGTCATATATATAAATTATAACATTTGTAAAGTTGATTATTATAAATATTATAACTTAATTTAATGTGAATTATAATTAAATAAAATAAAATAAATTATAACAAAATATCACATTTTGTATAATTAAATTTTTTTAAAATCACAATCAAAATAACATTATAATTAATATCACAATATGTATAATTAAATCATAATTAATATTATAATAAATCATAATTATATAATACAAAAATCTCAATTAAAAGGCATATGGTGTGCACTCAATTTAATTTAATTTTTTAAATGAATTTTTAGAGATGTTTTATTTTAAATTTTTGTTGATAAGTAAAATTATATTTATTTTGATGATAGTTGTTAGTGTAAGAATTGTTAAATTATTTTTATATAAAATAATAAAACAAATAAAAATATAAAAAATTAAATATTAATATTTAAAAAAATTCCCAATATATAAAAAATAAAAAAATTTCTAATCTCCTCACTATTTTTCTAATACCATCTCCACCTTCTCCATTTCAATATCTCTTCCAACTTCCATCTATATCGCCTTCTCCATCCTAATTCCCTCCCTAACTCTACAAACAAACACAACAGTAAATAACCTCATCTCCATCCTAATCCTTTCCTATTTATTTAACTCCAAAACAAATACAGTTTCAATTATATGAAAGAAAGCTATGATTGCTCCTTTAAAAACTAATGCGCTAGTGCATGTAGGTGGTGAGAGGATGCTGGAGGTGATGGTTGTGACTGTAGTGGAGGATGCTAGAGGTTATGGTTGTGATTGTAGTGGGATGGTGCAATGGCAGCAGCTCTAAGAAATTTTGATCTAGTCTAGGTCTCGGTCACTTTACATTATAATTTTAATTGGTTGAATTTTGATCTTTAAATTTATAATTTTGTTTTAATTGATTATAATTGTTAGTATTTTCTTATAAAAATACACAAATAAGTAGAGCATGTGCCATGCTTTTAAGACAAAATTATAAATTTATAACTCAATAAATTAAACTCATCTAATTTAATAATTATTTTTTTATCAAAAATCTTACCGGCTTTATCAATAGCGGCAAATTGATAAAATCAAAAATTAAAAATTAGAATTAAGTCAATAAAAATTATAAGAATTAAAACAGCACGGAAGACAGAGAGTAGGAACTATCACTGTAATTTATCCTTTTATTATATTAATACAGTAGCGCTTTTACAATTGTTCTGGACAAGTCATACCTTGAAATCAAATTTTCACAAATTTAATGTCATAATTCAAGCTGAGCTATTTACCAAAGAGCTATCTTTCCAGTATTATCTTCTTTTTTTGTAAGGCAGCTTTTTTGGTCTTTGGATAAAGATACACAATGGCTTCGTACAAAGTAAAATACTTGGCTGTTTGGAGCATGACTTTAAGTAAAAATTAAAAAAGTAAAATGAAAAAATATATATAAAATGTAATTAATTTTATTCATATTTTATTTATATTTTTTTATCCTTTTATTTTTTTAAATCCCTACTCAAATTTATACTCCAAACACAACTTTAGAAAACAAAATATATGGATTAGATACATTTTGAATGTAACTCAATCACCCTAACTTTAAATTTATTTCATATATTAATTACTAAAGTTTTTTTTTATTTTTATTTTTATAAGGGTATTATATGCATAATTAAAGGAGATTGTATGCAAATAAATTGTAAGTTCGATATGCAAAGTATAAAATGAGTTGAGTTTTTTTTTCTTTTTTTTCTTTGAGGTGTTCAAAATTTGGAAGATGGGTATTCAAATATGTAACCTTGAGTATTCAAGTTATGAGGAATAGGCTAAACATATATATTATCTACAAAAACAAAGTTAGGCCTACAAACGCCAATGCCGGCACCCCTAGTGTGGAAAAAATTCTCTTAAAAATGAAAAATGTTTTTCGCCCAAGTTCGTTCATTTTTTTTTTTATTTTTTTTTATTGATTATCATTTTCTGGCATACCAAATACCAGATACAATTATTATACAGGTAGGCAATCACACACTAATTGCTCAGTTAGGTAATAGTTGTTATTAAAATCATCCTTTGGTTAAAAAACAATCAGCATTTGGAAAGTAATTTTCTTTTATATTGTGTTTGGTTGGGAGATTTAAGAAGAATTTGAAAAATGAAAGTGAAAAGGTGTATGAAACTAGATGAAATGTAAGTATATTTTATTCATATTTCACCTAACTTTTCCCTTTCCCTTTTCCTCTCCAAATCCCTCATCAGATCCCCCAATCAAACACAGCGTTAAAGAACTAGGGTTTGATAAATAAGTTATTAATCAATGACAAGTTTGCTCTTCTATAATACTGAACGAAAAAGAGTCCACTTGTTAGAAAAGACAAGGCCGATGCCCTTGCTAGGAAACAATTGGTTGCTTGCTTGTACCTAGAGATGGACAACAATCTCTCGTGCCTAAACTTGACCAGACCAATTTTGATCCTAGAAATCTCTCATGAACTCAATCCTAAAATGATATTATAATCCCGGCCAACAAAATCATATATTAAATAAAAACAAATATTATTAATAATTTTATAGTTGAGTTTAAACAAAAACTTAATATTTAGCTATGACATCTTATTTATATACATACTAACGTATATGCATGTCTATAATATAGATTACGGCGGTCAGGACAGACCTAAAAAGTTATCTACTTCTCACCTTATGAGCTTAAATATCAATCTTAAATCCTTAAAAAAATAAGCTGTGAAGGGCAGGTTAGTGACCACCAACCAAAATTGTTATTGTGAGAGCAATTTTCTTGTACGGAAAGTTGAAGGTTTGCATTGAACCTTTGATTATGTCTCGATGCAAATCCGATTGTTGTGAATATTGTATCAAAGCCACTTTGTCGGACATGTGGAATCCCGTGTGAATCAACAAGGGCCACCTTACAAGGCTAAATACTGTTGGCTAACCAATATCGAAGTAGTACCGTGAGGGAAGGGAGGTTCAAGTCCCAACCGGGCATGATATCCATGAAGCTCAATGGATTGAGATCGGAGGTTCAAGTCCCAACCGGGCATGATATCCATGAAGCTCAATGGATTGAGATCTTTGTAGGCTGCCCCTTACACAATCCCTTCCACTTCAGGTTAGGTTAGGTTAGGTTCGGTTCGATGATATAAACTGCAATTTGTACTCCTCAAAAAAAAAAAAATAATCATAAATTGTGGGCACAAAAGTACTGATCTTCTTGCAATGAGGAAAGCTTTACAAGCACAAAAAACATTACAATTCACAAGCTTAAGCCCAAGATGTTAGGGAAGGAGGCATATAAGGGCTAGGTAGGAGACTTGCCTGAATGAATGACAGGCCCTTGTTGTAATTGCATTTTGAACCATCTTCAAATTTTCAAATTTTGTTAAACCTAAGAAATCAACATTCACTTGGAAGAGCATTGAAGAAATGATAGACTTCCTCTTCATCGATTACTCCAACCTCAGTTGAACAAACTGAGCAGCATACTGGCTTAAATGTTTCACCACCGTCTCCATATTCAATCCTCCTTTTGCCCCGTTTTCGTTTCAGACCTACCGGCGACACTTCATCAGTCTTGATCTTGCAGTTGGAAACAAAAACTGCCCGGTACTGGGTCACGTATTTTTCATGCCTACAAGACCCATACAGTCGGTCACAAATTCCACCACTTAATTCATGAAGCGTCAAATTCCAAAACCTTGTACAAGGATTCAAAATGCAAAACAATAGATTGCGCAGTAATCTAACAAAAGGTTCGTGGTGGTGTAAATGATGATCAAGCTTTGATGAAAGTCCTCTTTCTTCAAAACAAAGGCACTCCATCTATAGAAGTTTTTACAAAGGTTGAAGGACTTATCCCCATCCTTCTTTTGTGATCAAATTGTTGAATTCAAAAAAGGATATTTTAATCTCTATCTTTGTTTTGAATTTGGTGTCATGTTTTTTCCATTAAAAAACATTTACTGATAGTTGCTAAACATTAAAAATGAGAGTAAATTTTTCTCTAAAAAAACACATCTTACAAACCTTCACCCCTAGTCAAAATGCACAAACCATGGAAAGAAGAGATAGGTAGGTATTAACTTTCCTCGAATGGGCTAAATGAATCTATGTATCGCATAAAGCATAACACATTTGAAGTTTTCAAAATCATAGGGTGCTTTCTAAAGCAGTCATGCAATCAGGAGAGAGAGAGTTCCACTGCCTAATCTTATCCTGACCAAAACACAAAACAACACAGCTATCCTTATAGTTCCATATAGAATTTTTACTTCAATGTAGCAAGAAATCTACGATCGCAAAAATACTCAAATTACTTTTCCATTTCATCCAGCTAACTCTTAAGCCTATTCTCAGCAGCCTACTCAATCTCCCTCTCCTATTGTCTTAGCCCTACCTAACTCAGAACTCCTAATTCTATAGCATCTCTCCTAATTCTACAGCTCGCCGCACAACTATAATCACAGAAAACAAAACTCACATCATGAAACAACTCCTTGACAGCAAATATAAAATACCCAAAATTATACCAACTTATAGATACAATTACATACCTTTGACACTCAAGACATAACGTAGTGAAGCAAGCTGGGCAGCTAAGCACAGCATCAGAATAATGACCTTTCCTTTGCTTTTGAACCCATAATTCATCTTTGTCATCAAGATTTGGATCATAGAATTCTGGTTTGATGGAGTAGTCTATTTCATCATCATCGGAAACTGAGAAATGTATCAAATGCAGCCTCATAAGAATGTTAACTCCAATTACAACTATAATATTACTAGAACTCATACGACATACCACTACTTAAATAACGAATTCAAGCACTGTAAACACTTAACTGTGAATGTGAACAGTGATTTTAAAATGAAAAGAAATAGAACAAGAGGGGTGATATATTAAAGTTGCAACAAAGGACCAAATAAAGGAATGTAAATTTAAGAGTAAATTATAAATGCACCATTGAGATTTTCTTAAAAGATGAATTGTCCCTTGTGGTTTTAGAAATTCCTAATAACCCTCCCACACAATATAGAAATTTCTAATAACCCTCCCACACAATAATAAAATTACTAAAACTATTACTTGAAATATATTTATAACATCATTAAAAACTGTTAATTGACTTAATGATTGTTAATAAAATGAGTCATTTATTACGCGATTAAAAATTTTAAGGGGGCATGATGCAATTTCTAGAACCATAGTGGGTAATTCGTATTTTAAGTAAATTTTAGGGGGTTGTATTTGTAATTTTTACTAAATTTAACTAGCAAGTAATTCTTGCAAATTGTTAGCCTTTAGATTCTTAGAATCGAAGAGTGGGTAAATCACATTTCCTTGATGCTTATGCCACAATCATGTTTAATATAAAGTTGACAACAAATTTGATGAACTGTTGTATCTCTTCGCAAATTAACCAATTGAATTGTATACAAACACCTGAACAATTATGGCAAAAAAACCGAGAGAGAGAGAGAGAGAGAGAGAGAGAGAGAGAGAGATGCGTTACAACATTGAAAAAGAACAATGGAATTAAGGCTTTACAAATTAAAAAAGAATTTCGATTAAGTGATACATAAATATGGCATTTAATTAAACAAATGAAGTCGACGAAGAATGATATTGCAACTTGTTTGCTGGAGACCTACGCTCTCTTTCTCCTTCTATTGTCATCAATCACTTGAGAAAACTTTAGATGGTTTGTTTCTTTAGACGGCAAAATAATACTTGTTGCGTAAGTGATATTGTGGGCAGATCTGCTCTATATTTGGATCAGTAGGGCCAAAGAAATACATTATGTTGATTGAAGCAGGAAAACTTCTATTGCTAAATGGGTACGACTGACTTAAGTGATCAAATACAAAAATAGCTCTGATTAATATTTACACTAGAACTTCAAAAAGGAAAAGCAAACTGCTAATAAATGTGATATAATTTAAAATTGTTTTGATTCAATTGATTTCATCCATTCCATTCTTAAAAGAAATAATACTCATGATCTGATAGCCTTAAACATATTTACGTAGTTTTTCAAATTGAATGTTATTCATAAAGTAATTTTTCTAGACACGAGAACCTCAATGACACTCGTTTAGTTACATCTACTAACCAAACCAAATCAAGCCTTAAGTCCCATGAAATGGGGTCGGCCACATGAATCCTTCTACTCCACTCGACTCTATCAAAGGGTATTTGATTAGTCAAATTAAAGAGATTCATCTCTCTATTTACTACACTAACCCATGTCAATTTAGGTTTGTCAAATTGAATGTTATTCATAAAGTAATTTATCTAGACACGAGAACCTCAATGACACTCGTTTAGTTACATCTACTAACCAAACCAAATCAAGCCTTAAGCCTCAATGACACTCGTTTAATTACATCTATTAACCAAACCAAATCAAGCCTTAAGTCCCATGAAATGGGGTCGGCCACATAAATCCTTCTACTCTACTCGACTCTATCAAAGGCTATTTGATTAGTCAAATTAAAAAGATTCATCTCTCTATTTACTACACTAACCCACGTCAACTTAGGTTAGTCAAATTGAATGTTATTCATAAAGTAATTTATCTAGACACGAGAACCTCAATGACACTCGTTTAGTTACATCTACTAACCAAACCAAATCAAGCCTTAAGTCCCATGAAATGGGGTCGGCCACATGAATCCTTCTACTCCACTCGACTCTATCAAAGGGTATTTGATTAGTCAAATTAAAGAGATTCATCTCTCTATTTACTACACTAGCCCACGTCTATTTAGCTATGATTAATATTTACACTAGAACTTCAAAAAGGAAAAGCAAACTGCTAATAAATGTGATATAAGTTTAAAACTATTTTGATTCAATTGATTTCATCCATTCCATTCTTAAAAAAAATAATACTCATGATCTGATAGCCTTAAACATATTTACGTAGTTTTCCTAATTGAATGTTATTTATAAAGTAATTTATCTAGACACGAGAACCTCAATGACACTCGTTTAGTTACATCTACTAACCAAATCAAATCAAGCCTTAAGTCCCATGAAATGAGATCGGCCACATGAATCCTTCTACTCTACTCGACTCTATCAAAGGCTATTTGATTAGTCAAATTAAAGAGATTCATCTCTTTATTTACTACACTAGCCTACGTCAATTTAGCTATGATTAATATTTACACTAGAACTTCAAAAAGGAAAAGCAAACTGCTAATAAATGTGATATAAGTTTAAAACTGTTTTGATTCAATTGATTTCATCCATTCCATTCTTAAAAAAAATAATACTCATGATCTGATAGCCTTAAACATATTTACGTAGTTTTCCAAATTGAATGTTATTTATAAAGTAATTTATCTAGACACGAGAACCTCAATCACACTCGTTTAGTTACATCTACTAACCAAACCAAATCAAGCCTTAAGTCACATGAAATGGGGTCGGCCACATGAATCCTTCTACTCCACTCGACTCTATCAAAGGGTATTTGATTAGTCAAATGAAAGAGATTCATCTCTCTATTTACTACATTAGCCCACGTCAATTTAGGTTAGTCAAATTAAATGTTATTCATAAAGTAATTTATCTAGACACGAGAACCTCAATGACACTCGTTTAGTTACATCTACTAACCAAACCACATCAAGCTTTAAGTCCCATGAAATGGGGTCGGCCACGTGAATCCTTCTACTCTACTCGACTCTATCAAAGGCTATTTGATTAGTCAAATTAAAGAGATTCATCTCTCTATTTACTACACTAACCCACGTCAATTTAGCTATGATTAATATTTACACTAGAACTTCAAAAAGGAAAAGCAAACTGCTAATAAATGTGATATACGTTTAAAATTGTTTTGATTCAATTGATTTCATCCATTCCATTCTTAAAAGAAATAATACTCATGATCTGATAGCCTTAAACATATTTACGTAGTTTTCCAAATTGAATGTTATTCATAAAGTAATTTATCTAGACATGAGAATCTCAATGACACTCGTTTAGTTACATCTACTAACCAAACCAAATCAAGCCTTAAGTCCCATGAAATGGGGTCGGCCACATGAATCCTTCTACTCCACTCGATTCTATCAAAGGCTATTTGATTAGTCAAATGAAAGAGATTCATCTCTCTATTTACTACATTAGCCCACGCCAATTTAGGTTAGTCAAATTGAATGTTATTCATAAAGTAATTTATCTAGACACGAGAACCTCAATGACACTCGTTTAGTTACATCTACTAACCAAACCAAATCAAGCTTTAAGTCCCATGAAATGGGGTCGGCGACATGAATCCTTCTACTCTACTCGACTCTATCGAAGGCTACTTGATTAGTCAAATTAAAGAGATTCATCTCTCTATTTACTACACTAGCCCACGTCAATTTAACTATGATTAATATTTATACTAGAACTTCAAAAAGGAAAAGCAAACTGCTAATAAATGTGATATAAGTTTAAAACTGTTTTGATTCAATTGATTTCATCCATTCCATTCTTAAAAGAAATAATACTCATGATCTGATAGCCTTAAACATATTTACGTAGTTTTCCGAATTGAATGTTATTCATAAAGTAATTTACCTAGACATGAGAGCCTCAATGACACTCGTTTAGTTACATCTACTAACCAAACCAAATCAAGCCTTAAGTCCCATGAAATGGGGTTGGCCACATGAATCGTTCTACTCCACTCGACTCTATCAAAGGCTATTTGATTAGTCAAATTAAAGAGATTCATCTCTTTATTTACTACATTAGCCCACGTCAATTTAGGTTAGTCAAATTGAATGTTACTCATAAAGTAATTTATCTAGACACGAGAACCTCAATGACACTCGTTTAGTTACATCTACTAACCAAACCAAATCAAGCCTTAAGTCCCATGAAATGGGATCGGCCACATAAATCCTTCTACTCTACTCGACTCTATCAAAGGCTATTTGATTAGTCAAATTAAAGAGATTCATCTCTCTATTTACTACATTAGCCCACGTCAATTTGGGTTAGTCAAATTGAATGTTATTCATAAAGTAATTTATCCAGACACGAGAACCTCAATGACACTCGTTTAGTTACATCTACTAACCAAACCAAATCAAGCCTTAAGTCCCATGAAATGAGATCGGCCACATGAATCCTTCTACTCTACTCGACTCTATCAAAGGCTATTTGATTAGTCAAATTAAAGAGATTCATCTCTTTATTTACTACACTAGCCTACGTCAATTTAGCTATGATTAATATTTACACTAGAACTTCAAAAAGGAAAAGCAAACTGCTAATAAATGTGATATAAGTTTAAAACTGTTTTGATTCAATTAATTTCATCCATTCCATTCTTAAAAGAAATAATACTCATGATCTGATAGCCTTAAACATATTTACATAGTTTTCCAAATTGAATGTTATTCATAAAGTAATTTATCTAGACACGAGAACCTCAATGACACTAGTTTAGTTACATCTACTAACAAAACCAAATCAAGCCTTAAGTCCCATGAAATGGGGTTGGCCACATGAATCTTTCTACTCCACTCGACTCTATCAAAGGCTATTTGATTAGTCAAATTAAAGAGATTCATCTCTCTATTTACTACATTAGCCCACGCTAATTTAGGTTAGTCAAATTGAATGTTATTCATAAAGTAATTTATCTAGACACGAGAACCTCAATGACACTCGTTTAGTTACATCTACTAACCAAACCAAATCAAGCCTTAAGTCCCATGAAATGGGGTTGGCCACATGAATCGTTCTACTCTACTCGACTCTATCAAAGGCTATTTGATTAGTCAAATTAAAGAGATTCATCTCTCTATTTACTACACTAGTCCACGTCACTGTGGCTATGATTAATATTTACACTAGAACTTCAAAAAGGAAAAGCAAACTGCTAATAAATGTGATATAAGTTTAAAACTGTTTTGATTCAATTAATTTCATCCATTCCATTCTTAAAAGAAATAATACTCATGATTTGATAGCCTTAAACATATTTACGTAGTTTTCCAAATTGAATGTTATTCATAAAGTAATTTATCTAGACACGAGAACCTCAACGACACTTGTTTAGTTACATCTACTAACCAAACCAAATCAAGACTTAAGTCCCATGAAATGGGGTCAGCCACATGAATCCTTCTATTCCACTCGACTCTATCAAAGGCTATTTGATTAGTCAAATTAAAGAGATCCATCTCTCTATTTACTACACTAGCCTACTCCTACCCATTTACGAATATAGTTATTCCTAACTCTGTCTTTTCTAATCTTGCCACACATCGACCTTAACATTCTCATCCCGGCAATACTCGTTTTATCTATATGTTATTTCTTAGTTGCTCAACATTCCATCACATACAACATCGTTGGTCTAATCTAATAACCATTCTATAGAACTTTCCTTTTAATCTAGTGGGTACTCGTTTATCGCACAGTACCTAGACGCAAAGCCACCTCGCCTTAATTCTATGGACCACATCTGCTCCAATCTCCCTTGCCATTGTGATAATCGATCCTAAATAACAAAAAAGTTCACTCTTAAGTAGTTCTTGATTCTCAATTTTCACTTCTCCTTTGTTTCCATTGTTATTAACTATTACTAAAATTACATTTCATGTACTTTGTCTTAGTTCTGCTTATCTTAAATTCTTTAGATTCAAGTGCTTCTCTCCAAGGCTTCAACTTAGTGTTAACTCCTTTTCTAATCTCATCCACTAACACGATATCATTTGCAAAAGTATACACCATGGCACATCATCCTAAATATTTCTTATTAACTCATTGGTAACTAAAGTAAAAAGATAAGGACTTAAGGTTGATCATTGGTGTAACCCCACAGTAATTGAAAATTCACTTGTCGCTCCAGCTAGCAATCTAATAGTAGTCATCACGCCTTCATACATGTTCCTCATCACATCGATGTAGCCTTTTGTCACTCATTTCTTCTCTAACACCCACTAGATTGCACTCTATTATATGCTTTCTCAATATAGATAAAAAAACATATGTTTAGTTACATCTACTAACAAACCAAAATTCGACTTACACAAATTGAAACAAACAACAACATGGGAAAGAAGAAAAGAAAAAAAAATTCGGGGCACTGATAATACACAGGGAAATTTAGCATTTCAGGGGTTGTTTGGGGTGTTCTAAATAAGTGCACTTTTTGTCTTTTTGAACTAAAAAATTGAGGAAGAAAATATAAATGTTTGGGTTAACTTTTTGACTTTTTTATGGAAAAATGTGTAATAAAAAATTGTAAAAATTGGTTTGTAAGAGAAAATTAGAATTGGGAGTTGTGCAGCCGTAATTGTTGACTTTGGTGAATAATGTTAACTTTTTAACTTTTTGAGTCCCTTTTTGGCTTTTTGGCTTATTCTGGACTTGCCAAACTTGGCCTAAAACTAGAGAGAGAGGAGATACTGATTTTTCCTACTAAAAACTGTGATGTATATGTATGTATGAATAATTCACCAAATGAAGTTGAGCAAAGAAAGTAAACTCACTTGTCTTCTGAGAATCAGTTGGGGACCCTGCCCTTTCTTTTTTGTCTTCCTTTGCTTTCATATCTGGTTGATGCATCTGTTGGTCACTTGTTTTCCCTATTTTGGGGAGTTCAATAGTGAATCAGATTGAGAGATTCACTCTGAATGTCGAGAGGCGGTTCTCAAAGAGAAATATGCATCCAGAGTACACAAAACAAAAAAATAAGAAGAAAAGAAAACTTTTTTCCTCTTCACAAACCATTTCTTTCTATGTTGTCTTGTTTTCCCCCCGAAGTTTTAACGAGGCCAACTTGAATATGTCCGTGGTATTTGGATCAAAGTTTAATTCTTTAGAGATTCAACACTACTAGAATTATGAAAAAACAACAACTGACAGATGTCTATATATTCTTTCAATACAACCTTACTATATTTTTTGTTTTCCTCATTTTATCCTCCTCCTCTTGCTATACAACATATTTGTTTATCTATTCAAACCACAATTGGCCATTGCTTTCCTTTTCTTTTCTTTTCTTTGTAATTTTTTTATTTTTAGTTTTTATTTTCATTCCAAAACCTAGGCTTTAATTCAACATTTAAAAATTATTCTTAGGTGGGGCAAGTTTGGTACCATTTTAATTTTCATTGTTTGTGTCTTTTGTTTTTGATTTTGGTGTTTTGGAAAACAAAAGCAATGAGAAGTTCGAAAAAACTAGCCATTCTCATTTCTTGAGTGAAAACAGTTTTCAAAAGTTTAGAAAACAACTTAAGGGCTTGTTTGATTAACATGAATAATAGGGAACGGATTGATAATCCCATGAATTAGTGTAGGATTAGTTATCTAATTAAATTAGTGAGATAACTATTTATTATGTTTTTATTTTTATTTTTTTTCTTTCATACTTGAAATTATGGTCCTTAGCCTCTCTCAATATTAAAAATTCACCAATTTCGTCGGATTATAATCCGGTTAATAATAGAGGGACTTACGTGTAGGTCTTAATAGATAGACTTATTGTCCAATAGGTCCTATGATAATTAATGATAGTTTTCATCAAACACTATTAAAAAACGTCACTAATTGTTAATTTTCAATGATAGTTTGAAAATTTTGTCACAAAAAATGTCACTAATTATAAATTTTAGCGACAATTTAAAAAAAATCGTCACTAATTTTTTTAACTTTCAACGACGATTTGAAAAATTCGTCACGAAAAAAGTCACTAATTGTAAGTTTTAGTGATAATTTATAAAAACTATGACAAAAAGTTGCTAATTGTCAATTTTTAGTGACATACAAAAATCGTCACAAAAAAATTATTTTTAGCGATAATTTTACTAGGACTTATATTCAATAGGACTTGATAAAAATTAAGTTAAACTATTAGAACCTATTGATAATTTACCATTCATAAAAAATTTGCAAAGAAATATGGAATTGTGATTCCATGGACTAAGAGCATCTCCAACCATACTCTCTAAAATGCCTCTGCAAAGTACACAGAAAACTACCTTCTTTATTTTGCCTAACTAGTTTAGCTAGTGTATACACCAACCATACTCTTTATTTTAGGAAACCAATCAAACTAACTTAACTAATTTTTAAAAGAAAACTATTATAAACATTAATAAATAAAAAAATAAATAATCTTTTTATGACATGCTGCATATATTGACGTGGCATTTGCAAATATTTATTTATTTAAAATATATAATTAAATTATTTATAAAAAAATATTTTCCAACAATCATATTATCTCAACGGTCATATTTTCAAACGGTAATATTCTCTCAACGGTCATATTTTCAAATGGTATTATCTCTAACGACAATATTCTGTAACGGACATATTCCTAACGGTCATATCTTTTTGTTTATAAAAAGGATTTGCTCTTTCATTTTTACCAATTTGAACTATATTTCTCAACTTCATTTATTTTTTAATTACCATGGCTCGCAATACCATGAAAATGATTCTTAACGACTTTGACAGTGATGACAAATTGCAGCTAATAACGATAGCTGCAATGGAAGAAGAGCGACTTAATAGAGAAAGATGTTCGAGAAGACGTAGTGGTTCCATTGAAGGCCATGTAGTTATTATCGCGATCGAGTTCAAGGCCATGAGAGACTTTATCGAGACTACTTCTCAGAAATAGCTATATATCCTGCCCATTTATTCAGGAGGAGATTCCAAATGAATCGATCTCTCTTTCTTCATATTCCATCTACTGTGGAAGCATACGATCCATATTTTGTCCAGAAAACAGATGCTGTTGGAATCATTGGTTTGTCTTCCCTTCAAAAAATGACAGCTGCTATGAGGATGCTCGCTTATGGAGTAGCAGCAGATTCGGTGGATGATTATGTGAGAATTGGTGAAAGCATCGCCATAGAGAGTCTAAAACACTTTATTAAGGTGGTGGTTGCAATGTTTTCTGAGAGGTACTTGAGGAGTCCTAACAATGATGATATTTCAAGATTATTAGCGATGGGAAGCAATCGCGAGTTTCCTGGTATGCTAGGGAGCATTGATTGTATGCATTGGAAGTGAAAAAATTGTCCTACTGCACGGAATGGTATGTATTCTAGTCACATCCATGAACCAACTATTAT